CAAAGTCTTGAAGGACAAATCTGGACACCCTCTTACCAAAGATGATGACATTCTTCGGCGATGGAGGGAGTACTCTGAGGAACTCCTTAACCCCGCGCAACCGCAGGAAGACTTGCCTGTAGAGCAGAAGGGTACGGATATTACTGTTTCTGTAGATGAAATTACACAAGCTGTGAAAAGCTCAAAAATGAAGGGCTGCCCGAATTGATGAAATTCGCCCTTTAATGTCTAAGGCATTAGGCGAACAAGCATGTGCTGGCTTACACGTGCCTGTCAAACTGTGATGACTACGGAAAACCAGCGGACTGGAGAGCGGGAGATGCTGTAGCCCCATTCAGAAAGGGAGAGCACAAGGAATGCTCCACTTATATGGGCACACATTAATGAGTCTGCCAGGTAAAGTCTACGCAAAAGTGCTAGAAAGGTGTCGCGTAATAAATGACTCAGGAATGCAAGAAGAACAGTGCGGCTTCAGACTCGATTGAAGCACTTCTGCGAACATATTTTACTCTGCGCCAGATTGTTGAGAAATCGTAGGAATACGGTGTACATGTGTTTTGTTGACCTAGTAACAGCCTATAACCGTATCCCACGCAACACACGGTAGTCATGTCTGCGAGCATACGGGATAGATGGCCAGCTGCTAAGGGCAATCCAGTCACTGTGCTTTCATTGCAAGTGTTGCGTCAGAGTAAATGGCATTAAGTCGAAATCTTTCAACGTTTGGCACTGGTCTCCACCAAGGCTGCTTCCTGTTCCCTCTCCTATTTGTGTTGTGCATAAAGAGAACAGTCAGGAGCAGCCAAGGCGATGAGTCCATCGGTGTAGGAGATGTGAAGTCGAGAAGGTCACTCTCTGCAGGCGACCTTGCTTTATTGGCGTCTTCTGAACCTGATCTATAGTGCTCCCTGGAAAGGTTCACGACCGAGCGGGACAAGGCCGGCATGCGTGTGAACGCATCTAAACCTAAAAACCCAGTGTTTTCTTGTTCTCCAATCCGCTGATATCTTAAAATTAACGGAGGCAGTGGAACTAGTGGAAAAATTGAAGTACCTCGGAATTGTATTTACTAGTGATGGAAAATTGGAGAAAGAGATCGACTGGCGAATTAGAGTAGCCAGTGGCGTTCTGCATGAACTAGCCCGATTCATTGTGACGAAAGCAGCCCTTATTCAAAATAAGCTCTCGGTATTCAAGTTGATCTTTGTCCCAATATTTTCCTACAGTCACGTGTCGTGGATCATGAGTGAAAAACCTCGAATCCTCTGTATGCTGCTGAAACGGCTTTGTTAGACTAGTCGCTGGCCTTTCGCGTCTCGACACGATCCAAATACTGACATGCGGGAGAGGCTTGGTGTACAACCTCTGCTTCTCCATACTGAGAAGTCACAGTTGCGATGGCTTGAGCATGTGTTGCGAATGCCTCCGGAAAGAAGGCCATGGAACTGTTCCTTGCCAAACCGAC